CACAGAACGGGACTTAAGATGCAGATAAAAAATCTGTCTTAAAAGGAGAATACAACTCTCTGGAAAGAAAGATGGCAGCCACATGGGAGCCTTGTGGAGAGCCAGGTATGAGCCGGTGATGATGGGGCGACTAAAACCTCACGGGAAGGGGGGCGTTCCCGGCTCATCCTTCATGCCCTACCAAGGTCACCAGTTGCCCCCCACGAGCGGCTCTCCGGCACGGCCATGACTCCAGAGCACAGAAACCAATCTCTTAATTATCTGACTCTCAGTAGAAATACTTACAGGGTTAATAAGTAAACAGCAGAAATCCAAAACCGCGTGGCCGCAATAGCCGGTTAAATTGACTATAGGCCGCAATAGTCAATTAAATAACATCATTTAATTCTTGAACCCAGCTGTAGAAAGCAAATCATTTCACAATGCCTTTTCAGCAGGTCTGATTTGGGGGGGGGGTAAACTCTAAATAATAATGGTGCATTTTTTATCGAAACAATGAATCTAGTCAAAGTAGATAGAGTGTTAACTAGAATTCATCTGCCTCACAGGCATTGGGAGGGGTGGGGGTGGAGGTTTATTGGGGTTCTTCGTGGAGAAAAATAAGTATTGGTAAAGGGAAATGTGTTTGATATTTGCATGATGGAGACCTAAACCTGAAAGCTTTGTAACTTTTCCCACAGTGATTCAATAAATAAATTATTTTTTTAAAAAAAGGAGTATACAGAGATAAGCATTAATGGAGGAGAAAAATTCTGTAGATCAGGACCCATGATCAAAACTCATGATGATCTTTAAAATTCTGGGGTTATTTATTTTTCTATTTCTGTTATCAACCACTGGGAGTTTTTGCTAGTTATTCATATTTAATGATGTTTCAAATCTTCCCAATGTTTTAAGCAAACATCAACCAAACCTTATGAAAAGTGAATACAGTTTTGCTGAGCTATGATAAAAATATCTAGATTGGGAGTCAGTAAACATCAGCTGCAAATGGCATAAACAGTAAATATTTATGCTTTATATCTGTTGTAATTATCCAGCCCAGCAGGTGGGCACAAAGGCTGTCACAGACCATACATAAATAAATGGATGCAACTGTGATCCAATGAAACTATTTATAAACACATTTGGCAGATCAGATGTGGACATGAGCCCCAGGGCGCTGACCCTACCTGATCTACTCTCTTTAGAAAACTCTCAATATCTTCCTTGTACTTTTTATTTACTTTGCTCTTCCAATAGAGTCTTAGTCTTCATTTACACCTGCAAAACAAATTCTTCTCACTCTTAGAATTTATTTTGAATTAGATATTAAGATATTAATGAGAGGGGCTGGAGAAGATAGCACAGCGGTAGGGCGTTTGCCTTGCACGCAGGCGACCTGGGTTAGATTCCCAGCATCCCATCATTCCCTGAGCACCACCAGGAGTAATTCCTGAGTGCATGAGACAGGAGTAACCCCTGTACATTGCTGCATGTGACCCAAAAAGAAAAAAGACAAAAAATAGTTCATCAGAAGGGGGGAAAAACAGTTAAAATAAAAAAACTAGCAGGGAGGCACTGAGTCAGGAAGAATGGTTAGGTTTTCTTGCATTATGCAAATTAAATGTCTTATATTGGGGCCAGAGAGAGTACCAGAGTAAACACTTGCTTTTATGCAAGTAACCCAGATTATACTGCTGGTTCTGTATATGGTCACAGAGCCCCACCAGAAGTCATCTCTGAGCATAGGACCAGGAGTAAACCCTGGGCACCAGTGGGAAAGGTAAAAAAAGACAAAAAAATGAACAAACAAAAAGTTTTATATTACCTGACTCTTTAAAATAGCTTTCTAAAAATGAGCTGTCTTTTGCATTTTTATCAAGAAGAAAAGTTCATTTTATCATATTTTATCATATTTTATGATCTTTGGAACTCATTTAACAGACTAATGGGAAAATCTTTTAACAAGATTTTTATTTTAGTACATACTTGGCAAAATATTGGGACCTTGTTTGGAGCTCAGTGTGGCATTCTGGAGTATGGTCCTGAGACAGGAGCTGTCATGGGCACCTCTCCCGAGCCTTTGCAGGCACTCAGGAAAAGGGCTGCTGGGGCCTGAGTCAGGGTTTCAGCTTCTCATTTTCTACTTTTTATATTCTGACTCTTAGAATTTTGTTTTCTTTTTTTTCAGAGACAATGGAATTCAACACACTGTATTACGGTAAGAATTTCTGACTATAATGGTTGTGATATTTTTTTGGGATCATCAGAGTAGGTGAATTTTTTTTTTTTTTGGTAAAAAATGGGCTTATTATGGAGAAAAGTGAGATAATGCATTTGAATGTCTTAGCCTGACTTATCTTACAAACTGCTAGCCCTTACTATGCTATTATCGTTGTGAGGCTGTTACAGAGGTATTTTCTTTCCTTTATAAAATATTAGGCACATCAGTGTTACCTATGTAATGAAAAATTTCTTATTTTTTGTCATTAATTTTCATTGTTCCTATCCCCAGCATTGACCCAAGTTAACTAAAGATATTATCATCTGTAAGTCAATGAATGAGGAGACTCATAAGGAGGATTAACAACTTAGTGAATGTGAAGGCTATTTGGAAGCAAATTACTATTTAATAATGTTAACAATGTGTTATTTAAAATTTTACTTTCATGGTAACTAACAAAGCACACAGAAGAACAATAGCCGCAAAACTAGTAAGAGACAAAAATTACTCATCTCTCTCTCTCTCTCTCTCTCTCTCTCTCTCTCTCATACCACCCCTTCTCTCCAACAAAACTACCCTAAAAAAATTATTCCTCTCATCACAAAGTTCAACTTTTCCCATCAAAAAAGAATACTAATGAGAATGCTAAAATATGCAATTGTTGTTTTAAACTTGGCCGCATATCACATAAATGCTATCACTAATAGCCAAATGATTTTCAAAAAGACTATTTAATACATTCGGCAGAGCCTGGCAAGCTACCCGTGACGTATTCAATATGCCAAACACAGTAACAACAAGTCTCACTGGGCCCGCTCGAGCAAATTGATGAACAACGGGAAGAACGGGAGGACGGGGAGGACCATTTAATACACTAAAATCGTGCAAATTAATGGTAAAATATTTATGACACATCACCCAGATTATGGGATAGAACATTACTAAAATTACAGAGTCCCCCAGTGTACCCTTCCCCTCTTCCCTAAGGAATTAACCACACTTCTGAAGATTGATTTAATATATCCATGTATTACTTCATACATTTTGTATAACTCTGGTTATCTCTAAACAAAGCATGTCATTAATTTTGTTTGTTTTAGGACCACATCTGCTGGTACTTAGGGTTTACACATGGTTCTATTTTCAGAGATCACTCCTGATAGTGGCTGGCTAACTGTAGATAGAGCTGGGGATCCAGTTAGGGTCAGCAAAGCACAGAGCAAGTGCCTTAATCTCTGTAGTCTCTCTTCCATCCATATCATTACTTTTCAAAGTGTTTTACTAATTTGTCTTTAGGTATGAATTCACTCTCACAGATATATATATATATATATATATTATATATATATATAAAATCTCTAGTATATTCATGTGCTAGAGATAGTATTCAACAAATAGTCTGTATTTTCTTCTATTTCTTAGACTTCGAGTTGGAATAATTATGAGTAGAAGGGATACTGTATGTCATGTATGAGATAAAGCATTTTGGAATATGGATAAAGCATATGGAAGTATTATCCCTTCCTTCCCCTTTCATTGAATTCACTAACTAATTATTCCAGAAGAAGAACCAATCTGAGTGATATGATTTTTTTTTTTTTTTTTTGCTTTTTGGGTCCCACCCGGCAATGCACAAGTGTTATTCCTGGCTCTACACTCAGGAATTACTCTTGGCGGTGCTCTGGGGACCATATGGGATGCTGGGAATTGAACCCGGGTCAGCCGTGTGCAAGCCAAACACCCTACTCGCTGTGCTATTGCTCCAGCCCAGCCCCCAATATGGAGCTGAGTTTCTTGTTAATTCATGTTGTGATATGTAAAATGAGTAAGAAATTTCTCTGAGCTAAAAAACGTATACAAATGGAGTGATACTTCCTTCCTGAGATTACCAGTTTCTAGGTAAATTTCAAAGTCTAGTTTTTACCTTCTTTTCTTTGAAGGATTATTATACTAATGATACATTCAGAGTAATGTTAAAATGCTTATATACTGTTTTGGGCAAAAACATTTTGTTGCCACTAGATTTTAATCCAGTTAAAATGCCCCCCCCCCTTTTTTCTGTACTCAACACTGCATTTATAATCACAGAAATGCATTAACAACAACTCTGAGGATTGACTGGGGAAGTTGAGGACTAATATAACCATATACTGATTAATACTGTTTCAGTCAAGATGCATAGATGACTGTCGTTCCAACAGGCTACACCACATAGCCTAGGCTTGTAGCAGGCTACGTTTGTGCTTATTCTAGAACATTCACATGATTATAATTCACTAATGACATATTTCTCATAATGTATCCCTCTGGTGAAGTGCCATATGACTGTATTAAGTATCTTTGTGCAACCCAACTTGATTATGTTTCATATACTTAAGTTAATCTTTATCCTTTTTATCTCCAATGTATAGGTGAGGATATTAAGGCAAAGTAATTTTTCTCTGATCATAGAGCTAGAAAGAGAGTGGGGATGAGACTTGAAATCAATCAGCTTGATTCAAACATTTTATAGTGACTGAGTGAAACCATTCCTAGTCTAGGACAAGAGCTTTAACAGAACAAAAATGGTGGACATAATCTGTTTTTATAAACTGTGCAATCATTTAAGGTGTTTCTTTTGAGGCTCTCGGAGAGCCTGGCAAGCTACCGAGAGTATTCGATATGCCAAACACAGTAACAACAAAGTCTCCAATGGAGACGTTACTGGGCCCGCTCGAGCAAATCGACGATCAACGGGAGGGCCTTTACCTTTACCTTTTGAGGCTTGTTGGGACTCAAGAATTTGAGGTCTTACCTTGATCACCTCTGGTGTCTGTTGAATCAAAACCACTGTAGCATCTTTAGCCTTATCATCAACAGGGGAACTTCTACAGATTGAATTGGGCTGGGAAGATGTTGTCAAAGTTTCCTGAAGAATCTGCATCATTTCCTTTTCTTGTGAGAGGCTTCCTCTGCCTGATTTACATTCAACTAGTTCTTGAGCAAAGTCTTCAATACTTTCTAGAATTTTCAGTAAGAGGGCTCGATCCTCTTCCTCTATTTTATGTCCATTGGTTTCAATAATTCTTGTCAGACAGGAGGGTGAGACTTTTTCCATGGGTGAAGAGATTTTAGATTTAGATCCAAAGTCTACAGGACTCTGACCAGTCAATGGACTATGACTATTTGCAGGGTTGGAGCTTTTACCATTGGCAAGAGGGTCTCTTAGAGAGGTCTCCATTTTCTGTGAAAAAGATTCCAAGTCCATTAATAACTTATCTATTTCTTCCTGACTATTTGGATTCATGAAATCTCTGTGGTCTCCCTCTTCAACTTTAGCAACTTTTGATTTAAAATTTTCCTCAGGTAAATCAGCAACTGGCTTCTTATATATCGTCTTAGCAATTTCAGTCTGCATTGAGGCAGGACCTTTCTTCAGATGAGCACTGTGATCTGAAAATTCTGCTTTATCTTTATTTTCCTTTAATGATTCCTGACTGAGTCCATTCTCTGTCCTTTGTCCTTTAGCTAATGCTTTCTCACCATCAGACTCTTCTTCAATAAAAAGGGTATCTATTACATTAGCAGAAGAATTTTCTAAAGGATTTATGGTTAATGACTGTGATGGATGCTGGGTATCTTTTAAAGATTTGGGATCATTTTTCTCTAAATTATATAAGGAATTCACTGAATTGGTTGGAATGGGTTTTGTATTATCTATTTTCCTAGTATTGTGCTTTTCATTTTGCATTTCTATAGCCTGAACTCTTCCTGCATCAGGGGCTGTGAGCTGGACAACGTCTTCATATTTAGGAGGCTGTTCGGTGCCAAACATCGGGGAGAAGGGAGTCAATTGTAAACTAGGCATATTACTGACAAGTTCCGTTAAGTCTATAGCCTCATTATTCCCAGACTGCATGAATTCAAATGGTAACTTTTTGAGGTATGATGCTAACCTGCTCATTACAGTCATATAGATAGTTTCAGGGCTAGAAATAGCATCATTACCATTCCCTTCATTGATGTTGCTCCCTGACTTTTTCTTTATGCACTGTTTTATGATGTCTGTGCATTTTTTCAAATCCTCAGAGCATTTCAGCAAGATGTCCAAGCACATCTTTATGTCTGTTCCAGGAGAAAAATGATCGAGTTTATGTTTTTCCAAAATCTGAGTGACTAAGTCTTCTTCAGAGATGTTCTGAAGAAGCATTGAAGTGAGGCTTGAATCAAGTGAACTTCTATGGGACAAAGATTTTTCCTCAACTGAGGAACTCCGAAGTAATCCAAAGGACGGGGAGTTCCCGTCACTGGTATAATGGCCACAAAGCAAGTCAAAATCAACTGACCTCCTATTAAATGAATCAGATTTAACTTTCCTTCCTTTTTTGTAAACTGCATGGTTAGAGTTTTTGAGTTTTTCAAGGGAAAACTCCTTTATTTTCCCACTGGCAAAACTGATTGCTTCTCCTGCAATGTCCTTTAAGTTACAGGTGTTTTGAAATGTAGATCCTTTCCTGATCCTGGGTATGCCAATAAGGGCCTGGTGGGAATAGTCGCCTTCAACTGAGGAAAACCCATTTTCATGGGGTAGGAACATAGAGTCCAGGTCAGCATCTTTGAACTGAGACACAGGGATGTGTAAGAGGTCTGCACAAACGCTATGGTGCACCACAATGCAATCGACTCCATGGGCGAAGGTGTGGCAGGTTCCAGTGCAATAATGTATAGCTTGTTCAAAACGCCGGTCTATTATCACGCTGCTATAGTGGTTCACAGTACTGACCACAAGTCTGTAAGTTGCTGCCATAATATCAAATTCACTTAGTGGTGGGATTTGGAATTCTATAGGAGTTGTTTCAAGTAAATTTTCCTAAGTAACACTTGGCTGGAAATATATCTGATGGCACTGTTCAGTGGTTTCTTGCAATGACTTTCCTACAAAAGGAACTGTCTAAATTTGAGGTTTAGTAAAACTGTCAAGATACAGTAGCAACTGCACATGTGTGCTTTTCTTAGCAAATCTAATAATTTAATAATTGAGTTTTTAAGTTTTGTTTAGTAATATCATCACACTATAGAACTTTTTATAAAAGAATATCTTCTTTTAGTTCTTCAGCAGTTCTATAGTGAAGAAATTTACTGTCATCAATCTTAGTTGGTAGTATTGAAGTATTATAATTGAGTCCTCCAAAGGTTTAAATGATTCATTTTTCTGTGGATGACAGGGAAACCTAGGATAAAAAGAAAACAAAGAAAATATGTTTTTATAAATATTTAAAAATTATTAGTAATGACAGACCATTTTATTTCCTCCTCCTTTACATCACATTTATAGTTCATCATCAAACCTTATTCTCTGTCACGCTACTGATGGGTGATACTTAAATTATGTCTGGGTTCATCGGCTGCTATATTCCTTACTATCTAGAACTGCATTCTTAATTCTGCATGTTACAATGGCCTCGGACTTGATATTTCTTATGCTTCACATCCTCCTTATCCCCAGTTTAGATTAGGATAGCCTTTATATTCTACCAGTTGAAGAATTCACAGTATTCTATCCAGCACCCATCTCGGCAGACCCACCTTGAACTCACTTTCAAGACTTTAATATGCTTTCATTTATCTCTGACCTTATTTTTGGCTATTACCTTGCACTAACCTTTTACTTTCATCAAGCTAATCTTAGCAAAGACTGTTCTTGATTTTACAACGCTCGCTTGGCAAAGCCTGGCAAGCTACCTGCGACGTATTCGATATGTCAAACACAATAACAACAAGTCTCACAATGGAGATGTTACTGGGCCCGCTGTGTAAATCGATGAACAACAGGAGGATAGTGTAGTGCAGTGCAGTGTTTGGAAATGAGAGAGAGAGGAGAGAGGTGGGGAGGGGAGAGAGAGAGAGAGAGAGAGAGAGAACCTAATTACTACCTAATTACTGTTCTCGTACCATCGTCTTAGACTTTACCACAACAAAGTAGTCTCTCTTTCCATCAAGTGTACACAATTTACTTAGTCTTTTTTTTATTAAGATTTTTAAACTATGTTGTCCTTGCATGCCAAAAAGGTTCAATCGATTCATTCACTCAAAAACAGTGAGCTGTGCTATATGTCAGGCACTTGCTAGGTATTAGGGATACAGCATTAAATAAAACTGAGTTCCTTTCTATTCTTATGGAATTGATAATATAGAAAGGAAAATACCAACATGCAAAAAAAAAGGTATAACTTAGATGGTGATTTAAATTACAGAGAAAAAAATCAAGCTGGGCCAGGGTTTGGAAAGAATGGTAGAATGCTATGGAAAGAAGAACAACTGAGAAAACCTTACTGATATCTGAAGAGAGGCCTCTAAGAGAGAGAGAGAGATATTGACCCTTAGTAAACAGGTCCTGAGGTGAAAGCATTCTTGACTGACTACAAGAATAACAAGAAGGCTAAAATGACCAAAGCGGAGAGAATAAGACAGTGGAATACGAGGTCAGAAGGGAAGGTGAGAATCTAAACAATGCAGTTACTATTAACTTAGGATGATGTACTGGGCCTCAGTGCTGTGTGAGCTAGGAAACTGACGGCTACTGGGCACGAGAATACCTGAGCAGACTTAAAGCTTTAAATGGGTCATTCTGGCTGCTGTCTTTAGAAGAGAATGCAGAAGGGGAAGAAAAGAAACGGGGTAACTAATTCAGGGTCACAAAAAATCATCTAACCTGGGGACTTAGATCAGGACAGTAACAGGGAAGACATTGAGAGACTATATATTTCAAAAAAACGAGTCAATATAATTTGTTGAATGACAGAATGCGTGACACTACTGCATGAAGGATGCTGCAGTAATGGCAATGACAAGAAAATGGAAGGTGAAAGCAACAAAGAGGAGCATCCAGTTTGCTGGCCATCAACAGTGCTGGTATTTTTAACATTACATTATGGAATGGTCTTTCTAGTATGTGGGATATAAACAAACATAGTAAGAGAGTAACAAGTGGCTAAAGTCAACAAAGCATGAAAACCGGTTTAAAGAAAGGAGCTTACAGCACTGTTCAAAATAGCCAGAACCTGGAAACAACCCGAGTGCCTGAGAACAGATGACTGGTTGAAGAAACTTTGGTACATCTACACAGTGGGATACTATGCAGCTGTTAGTAAAGATGAAGTCATTAAATTTGCTTATAAGTGAATGGTCATGGAGAGTACCATGCTAAGTGAAATAAGTCAGAAATAGAGGGACATAGAATGACTGCATCATTTGTGGAATATGAAACAACATAATATGAGACTAATACCCAAGACCATACAGACAGACAAGGGCCAGAAATACTGCTTCATGTTTGGAAGCCTGCCTCATGAGCTGGGGAGGAGGTAGATGAGATATAGAAGGGATCACTAAGTCAATGATGGTTGGAGGGATTGCTTGGCATAGGAGATGTGTGCTGAAAGTAGATAAAGGACCAAACATGATGGACTCTCAGGATCTGTATTGCAAAGCATAATGCACCAAAGTAGATAGAGAATAAGAAGGAAACTGTCTGCCATAGAGGCAAGGGTTGAGGTAGCGTGAGGACAGTGCAAAAACTGAAAAACAAAAACAAAAACAAAAACCTTTCTGGCTGATGGAAATAGTCTGTACTTCTATCTCCACTGACATATCTGCCATTAGCCACAGGAGGCTATAGGGGAATTTTAAATGTGGCAAATAATGTCCAAGTAAAAAATCACCCAGACCCCCAGTTTTCCAGAAGCTTGGCAGTCACACCCACAAACTCCCCCAGGCACCATGTAATCTTATCAATGGCCAAGATCCAGAGACTATAAAACAAAGCTCCCGGGAAGAGAGCGGCATAGTATTTCCTCTTGGAGAACCTGGCAAGCTACCGAGAGTATCCTGCCACACGGTAGAGCCTGGCAAGCTTCTCGTGGCGTATTCCATATGCCAAAAACAGTAACAATAACGGGCCTCATTCCCCTGACCATGAAAGAGCCTTCAATATGGCAGCGTTGGGAAGGACGAGTAAGGAGAGGCTGCTAAAATCTCAGGACTGGGACGATAGAGACGTTACTGGTCGAGCAAACTGATGAACTACAGGATGGCAGTGATACAGTGATACAGTGAAATAATTTTGAGATTTTAGATTCAAACAGAAATTGCAAAGTTATTTAGAATCCCTGTGTATTCTTCTTTCAGTTCATTTCAATTTCTTTCAGTGATGGTATCATATGCCAAATGGTCAAAATCAGTAAATTGACGTTGGTACTATTAACTGAACCCAGGCCCTTTGGGATTTCGTCAATTTTACATGCATTCACTCCTTCCTCTCAGAGAACCTGGCAAGCTTTTTTTTTCCCTTCTTTTTGGGTCACACCTGGCTATGCACAGGGGTTACTTCTGGCTCATGCAGTCACGAATTACTCCTGGCAGTGCTCGGGGGACCATATGAGATGCTGGGAATTGAACCTGGATCGGCCTCATGCAAGGCAAATGCCCTACCCGCTGGACTATCGCTCCAGCCTTCCTTCCTTACTTTTTATCCTTCGATAATAATTACTACCATAAGCAGGGTGATCCACCATCCTCCAAAGTCCTTCACCACTACTCTTCATATACACACATTCATTCACTCTAACCTAATCTCTGGGAACCACTGATGTGTTGTCCAGCATTATAACTTCCCTTCCTCCCTCCCTTCCTCTCCTCCCCACCCCTGATTTTTGTCTCAAGAGCCCTGAACACACCTTGGAATGGGTGACCATGCAGTATACTAGCACTTAGCACCTATATTTTTGTTGTTTCAAACAATGCTTTTATGTAAAACAAAACAAAACAAAAAACAACCAGAATTATTATTTTTTTAAGAAAAATATTTTGCTCGAACGGGCCCAGTAACGTCTCCATTGGAGACTTTTGTTGTTACTGTGTTTGGCATATCGAATACTCTCGGTAGCTTGCCGGGCTCTCCGAGAGGGGCGGAGGAATCGAACTCGGGTCGGCCATGTTGGCCGCATGTAAGGCGAATGCTATAGCACAGCGGTAGGGCGTTTGCCTTACACGCGGCCAACATGGCCGACCGGAGTTCAATTCCTCCGCCCCTCTCGGAGAGCCCGGCAAGCTACCGAGAGTATCTCGCCCTCACGGCAGAGCCTGGCAAGCTCCCCGTCACGTATTCGATATGCCAAACACAGTAACAACAAAGTCTCCAATGGAGACGTTCCTGGGCCCGCTCGAGTAAATCGACGATCAATGGGAGGGCCTTTACCTTTACCTTTAAGAAAAATATCTTTGTTTAGGAACTATGAGAGAGAAAAGAGACGATGGAACCCTATGGAGTAAAAGAATTATATACCCAAAATTGGGGTTTGGGTGATTTCAGAGTGGAATGCATAAAAACATAAGAGTTTTATGTATTACAATCATATATAACTTTTGAAATAGGCTTCTGTCATTTTAACATTTAAAATCATTATTTTGTAAATTGTTTACTTTACACTATATATCAATAATCCTGTCCCTTTTATTACTTTATTTTACTTTATGACCATATTCTAGTTAATTCATTTACCAATTAAAGGATATTTATGTTATTTTAAGTTTGGGGCCATTACAAATTAAGATACTGTAAATATTTTTGCATAAGGCTTTTATGAGGACATAATTTTTGTTTATCTAGGTAAACAACTAATAGTGTCATTGTTGGGTGGTATAGTAAGTATATATGCTTTTTTCATTTTTTATAATTTTATTTATTGAATCACCGTGAGAGCAGTTACAAAGCATCCGTGTTTCTAAGTCTCGGTCATACAATGAAACACCCGTACTTTCACCAGTGCCCATTCTCCACTACCAAAAACCCCAGTATGCCCCCATCCTACACCCCACCCCCCCACCTAAGGGGCAGATGATTTCCACATTACTCTCTCTCTATACTTTGATTAACATTCAATATTTTGACACCAGACCCACCATTATTATGGGATTTTACCCCAACACTCAGATCTGCTGAAAAGGCAATAGCAGACAATTTGTTTTTTATTGCTGGTGATGAATAACATATGATGTCGCGTGGCTGCAGTAGTGGCCACGCGATTTTGAAATTCCAAAATTTTAACAATTAAATCTGACATTAAATATGACATCTTATTGTCTTATTTCTACATTGGACAAACTTGCAGGCTATCGAATGTAGCCTGCCCACAGGGCAGAGTCTGGCAAACTCCCCGTGGCATACCAAATA